TTTAGATAGTTTAAAGAACGTTTCGGGTCATTTTCAGCATTTCAAAACTTTCCATAATTTACCCACCGTACGTTCATTTCCACGCACACAGCACATATTAAAGCTGGAAATCACGTTTTGTTACATACTTTGGGTTCCTGACACATGATTCATATCAGGAGTCACTCTTTGTGCTATTACCGTGCTCACAGGCGTCAAGACGTACGTGTACACATGCGGAAATCTTTTAAAATGCTCAAATTATTCTTATAAAAAAAAACTAATTACAGCATATTTTAGCATATTATGACACTTTTCAATCAGCACCGAGTGATCTTAATGAGGGTCAAAGTGCGGCGGATCACCTAACTCGTCCTCAGTGACGAGTTCAAATCTAGTTCTTCTTTCTTTCTCCCCTTCTCTGTTCGCACGATATCCCAAAAAATGCCACGAGTTACGCACAATCGCTGTCAGCGAACATTTGGCTTGGTCTTGAATAGTCATGGTAAGCTTTTGAACGCGCTCAGTCATGCGTGACGTCATCTACGCGCAATTTTGCGTTTTTACATTATCGATCATATCAGCCTAACCAATTGCCATTTCGAAATCGTATTAAGTGAGCATTAACTTCGGGTTAATGTTGAATGTGCTGTACCCTAATTTCACGCGTGCGCTTCATATTGCATGCGCACACGTGCGTCAAAATTGTAAAATGCTCGAAATCACTTTTTAACTAAATTACAGCATGTTTCAGGCCGTTTTGAGCATTTTAATTTTTTTTTAATTTTCCCACTATGCGTGCGCATTTTGACGCGCGCAGCACGTACGGAAGCTAGACACTATGTTTTTTCACATAGTTTGGGTTCCTGACATTGTTTTCACAAACTTCCATTCTTTTCGGTCATCTTTTGCCCAATAGTAATGCCGTACGTGCGCATCAAATATAGGTATCTTTGCGCGTATTTGTGCCGCTATACAGTGAAAATATGCTAAAATGAGACCTATTTTTAATCAGTTATAGCTCTTTAGGTTGAAAGGTGACCCCCAATTTTTATTACATATTCTGAAAGCACATGAGTTGTAGATACGATTTTATAGATCATACTGGCTGATCGGACATTGTGACGTCATCATATTGCCATTTGAATTAAGAAAAAATTGAATTTTTATTTATGACTTTATTACTTTTTATACTCGTTTAAACGTACTCGCTTATCTTGATTGATTGTCTCCCACCTGTGAGTATGTTATAGCTAAATCAATTCTCTTTCGGACGTGTCCCTTTATTTTTTATTTTGATGACGTCATCATGGTAAAAAAAATGCTTTTTTGGAGCCTTCTCATCTTTCTTTCTTAAAAGATGTAAACACTTTGAAAATAGAGGGCGGCAGACTATTTCGACACTATCAGACCGATAGTTCGTATCCTGTAAAGGCAAAATTCGTGGGGCATTACCAACCAACAGGGGGTTTTAAATTAAACTTGACAAAGTTTAAATTCATGTGCCATTACCGTCGTCAGGCACGTCGTATAAGGTATTCGTACTTGTGTGTTAAAATATTAAAATTGTTAATATCACTTTTCAGATAATTTAAAGTACGTTTCAGGTCATTTTGAATATTCCAAAACTTTCCAAAATTTACGCGCCGTACGCTCATTTCCACGCCCACAGCACGTACTGAAGTTGGAAATTACGTTTCGGTTACATGTGTTGGGTTTGTGACACTTAATACTACCGTGTGCACGGACGTTAAGTCGTATGTGTACACATTCGTAAGTCATTAAAATGCTCAAAATTACTCTTTTCCTTTAAAATTTTTTTTAAAATACTCAAAATTACTCTTTAAATAGAGCATGTTTTAGCATATAATACTTTTCAATCAGAACCGCGCATGCTTCGTGAGGGTCAAAGTACGGCAGATCACCAAACTCGTTCTCAGTGACGAGTTCAAATCTAGTTTAGTTTGGAAATACAAAAGTTTTTTATATAGGAAATATTTCTTGTTATATTTTGTTCAGGTGGTGCTGTTGTAAGTACATTCCAACTTGGTGCAGTAATTGGATCAGTATTTGCTGGATATTTTACTGACAAGCAGGTTGCAAAGGTAATTGGTGATCCGCTAACGTTAGCGGATCACCTTGTTATTGTCAGGGATCATCATCTTTTTGGTGATCCGCTATCACCTCATGTTATTGTCAATATCATCATCATCATATTTTTTTTCTTATTCTTCTTTCTTTCTCCCCTTTTCTGTTTGCACGATATCTCAAAAAATGCCACGAGTTACGCACAATCGCTGTCAGCAAACATTTGGCTTGGTCTTGAATAGTCATGGTAAGCTTTTGAACGCGTTCAGTCATGCGTGACGTCATCTACGCGCAATTTTGCGTTTTTACATTATCGATCATATCAGCCTAACCAATTGCCATTTCGAAATCGTATTAAGTGAACATTAACTTCGGGTTAATGTTGAATGTACTGTACCCTAATTTTACGCGTGTGTTTAATAACGCGTGCGTGAAAATTTCAAAATTCTCGAAATCACTTTTTGACTAAATTACAGCACGTTTCAGGCCATTTTGAGCATTACATAATTTTCCACTACGCGCGCGCCCTTTTACTTGCGCAGTACGTATGGAAGTTAGAAATTAGGTTTTTTTTACATATTTTGGGTTCCTAAAATTGTTTTCACAAATTTCCATTCTTTTCGGTCATCTTTTGGCCAATAGCAATGCCGTACGTGCGCATCAAACATAGGTATCTTTGCTCGTATTTGTGCCGCTATACAGTGAAATTATGCTAAAATCAGGCCTATTTTTAATCAGTTATAGCTCCTTAGGTTAAAAGGTGACCCCCAATTTTTATTACATATTCTGAAAGCACATGAGTTGTAGATACGATTTTATAGATCATATTGGCTGATACATGTGTTGGGTTTGTGACACTGTATTGATACTACCTTGCGCACGGACGTTAAGACACAGTACACATTCGTAAGTCCTTAAAACGCTCAAAATTACTCTTTTCCTTTAAAATTTCTTTTAAAATGCTCAAAATTACTTTTTAAATAGAGCATGTTTTAGCATATAATACTTTTCAATCAGAACCGCGCGTGCTTCGTGAGGGTCAAAGTACGGCATATCACCAAACTCGTCCTCAGTGACGAGTTCAAATCTAGTTTGCTTTAAAAACTGCTTGGCAAGTCAAAAATTTAACTGAAACAAAATTTACGTATGTCATCAAACCAGGGAACGGTTCACTGTTCCCTGGTCAAACTAAAAGGAAATTGGTCTTCGTATTTGTATATACATTATTTTTTTGTTTCATAGCTAGCCGCTAGCCAGCCTAGGCCTAAAACATCACCCAATTGAAGCCACGTAGGCTGCATAGATCATAACACATATCTAATTCTATTATTGGTGATCCGCTAACGTTAGCGGATCACCTCTTGTTATTGTCAGAATCTTTCTTTTTTCTTTTTCTTCTATCTTTCTCCCCAATTTTGTGACCACGATATCTCAAGATTGCTTTAACCAATCAACATGATATATTCAACAATTATTAGTCTTGGGGTGGAATCAATACAATAAGCTTTTCAGCCTGATCAGTCACGCGTGACGTCATCTACGCACAATTTTTCGTTTTACGTAGCAAATTATTTGATTGGTCATAAATTCATCACCGTAAGGACGTTTTCATTGAAACTTGACACAAGTAATTTTCATGTCAAGTACTATCCATTTGCATAGTGCTGTCCGAATTGCAGCTCATCATCGTTTTGACTAAATTTGTGTACATTTCAGGTGATTCTGAGCATTTCAACTTTTTCACAAATTTTCAGGTGGCGCGCACATTTTCGCGCGTGCAGCACGTGCAGATGATTCAAATTACAATTTTTGACATATTTTGAGTTTCTTACACTGTAATGACATATTTGCATTTTTTTTCAGTAATTTTACGTCTAATAATAGTGCAGTACGCGCACATCTAAGATACGTGTGCATTTGCGTGTTTTTGTCCATTTTCAGTCAAAATGAGTCAAAATTGTACCTGTTTTTATTCAGTTATAGTTCCTCAGGATGAAAGGTGACCCCCAACTTTTATTACATATTCTGAAAGCACATGAGTTGTAAATATGATTTTATAGGTCATAATGGCTGATCGGACATTATGACTTCATCATATTGCTATCTGAATTCAATAAAATGAATATTATCGATGACGTCATTGACGTCAAATGTGCATTTGAGCATATCTTGCTTATTCTTGGTCGAATTTCTTCCACTTTTGAGTATGTTATATCTGAGGCAATTCTCTTTCATACATGTGACATTTTGATACATTTTGATGACGTTATCATGGTCAAAGTATACGGTTTTTCTTACCCCTCTCATTTTTCTTTCGTCAAACCTTTGATGACCCCCATAATCACCTTAATCGGTCGTGATTTCTGAATCATATTCAGTGGGAATAAACTTCAGGTTATGGTTAAATGTTATGTACATCATATTTTTGTGCGCGCGTAATAACGCGAGCGTTCGCGTGCGTCAAAATTAAAATATGCTTTATATCATGTCATTCTCTTAGGATGAAAGGTGACCCCCAATATTTATTACATATTCTGAGACCATATGAGTTGTAGATACGATTTTATAGATCATAATGGCTGATCGGACATTGTGACGTCATCATATTGCCTTTTAGATTAAGAAAAAACTCAATTTTTATTTATGATGTCATTACTTTTTATATTCGTTTGAACGTATCTCCCTTATCTTGATTGATTGTCTCCCATCTGTGAGTATATTATAGCTAAATCAATTCTCTTTCAGACGTGTCCCTTTATTTTTCATTTTCATCACGTCAGCATGGTCAAAAAGAATTAAATTTTGGAGCCCTTTTATCTCTCATTCTTAAAAGATGTAAAGAAATAGAACAGAGAGAGGGCTGCAGACTGTATTTCGACGCTATCAGACTGATATATATATATATATAGGTTATATGAAGGGAAAATTCGTGTGGCTTAACCAACTAACAGGCGGTTTTCAAAACACTTGACATGTTTAATTTTGTGTGCCATTACTGTACACGCACACATCGTGATGTGCGAAGTCTGTTAAAATTTGAAAATTCTCCGTATCACTATTCAGATAGTTTAAAGAACGTTTCGGGTCATTTTCAGCATTCCAAAACTTTCCATATTTAAGTGCCATACGTTCATTTCCACGCAGGCAACACGTAATGAAGCTGGAAATCACTTTTTGTTACATACTTTGTGTTCCTGACACATTATTCATATCAGGAGTCACTCTTTGTGCTATTACCATGCTCACGGGCATTAAGACGTACGTGTACTCATTTATGCGTTAATCTTTTAAGATGCTCAAAATTATTCTTTTTTTAAAAACTATTTACAGCATATTTTAGCATATTATGACACTTTTCAATCAGCACCGCATGAGCTTTATGAGGGTCAAAGTACGGCGGATCACCGAACTCGTCCTCAGTGACGAGTTCAAATCTAGTTGTACAGTATTATTGTATTATTACTTCACTGTCAGTTACATTACATGTGTGGAAAATCCCAGATATGTTCTGGGCATATACGCATAGAGATGCTTTGGCAGTTTTACAGCAGTCTGTGATCATTGCCTGCTGCAATTTAATGAAAGTTATATTATATATAACGCCAAAATGACATTTCTTTGGCAATTTTGTTATGTAAAACATGTATTTTACTACTCTATTAAAATAATAATTGTCCACCATTCTTTCACTAACAATATATTGATTTTAATTGAGATAATTAACAAAATTACGATCTGCAGATAACGATGTAAAGTTGAGCGTTTGGAAAATTATAGTTTATGCTGTAGGCCTAGTAGTAAAAAACTGCAGAGACTGCAGACCTCGGAGAATTTAAGGTCGGCAAATTTTTGCCGACCTAATCTCTTCCCAATTTAATGGGCTGATTCTAATCTATAGTAATAGAGCATAGCTTTAATGCCATCTAATTAGTTAACTGCCAATATTTAGGCATTATCGAGGAAGGCTATAATTTAGTCTATAATGGCTTCCTCGATGATGAGGATGCTAATTTCGTTTTTTTTCTTACTTTAACAATGCAACAAGTGTGTGACATAACATTCAATGTACAACAAAAAATATGACAGCACTTGTAACGGCATGATTGTTTTTGAATATACTAAGTAATTATTGGCTAATATCAAGTTTTATTCTTGTAAGTTATTGCCCTTCCTAGGAGAATTAGTGGGTGGAGGCTTGCGAGTTAATGGCAGTGGTGGGAAATGATGAAGGTGATGATGTGGACAATGTTAACAATGTTGATGTTGCTACTGATATTGTTTGTAGATAAACAGTGTTATATTGTTGGTTTTTTACTTCAAATTGTATGTTCTTATTTCAGGAAGGTGTATTAATGATTGGAAGTGCTCGATTTCCATATTTGCTTGTTACCCTTGTAGCTTTAGTGTCTTCCATGCACTGCTTTAATACACTGGTATCTAGTGAATCTAGTCTGGTAAGTTGCATTTTATTCTCTGAATCAATTACTCAAAAGTTTACCAATTGATGAATATATATATATATATACTGTCTCTTATACACATCTAGATGTGTATAAGAGACAGATCTTGGTGTTAATACCTATGCTCTTTAGTTCAAGGAATCCAATAGAACGTATACATAAACACCATAGTACACATCCTTAGTGTGAAAATTCAAAATAAATATTCAAAATGGCCGCCAAAAATCACATATTTAGTATAAAAATGACTGCGAGTGAAAGGTTGTTGATTTGTGTGTTGTAGTCAAATACCATAGGGATGCGTTGGGATTGTGTTTTGGGTGTGTAAAGGAGCAATTGGTCACGAGATTTGTTGGAAATCTTGTCTATGTTGCGTTTAATAACTAGGATGGGATAATTACTCCTAGTGAGTTTGTTGACGAGGATACCAATGTGTTTCTCTTGTTCATCTGTGGTGGAGCATACATCAAGGCAGTCAACGAACTCTGAGCATGAAATTGATGAAGCATCAAGGCCAATCAGTTTGGGTGCAAGGCAAAAGGAAAGAAAACTGAAAAAGGAACTATCATTAGGCCCTGTGAGTGTAAGATCCAGGAGAAACAGTGCAACATCGGTAACCAGTAAAACATCGAGGCACTCAAGTATTGCTACAGTAAAGTTACAAGAAGCCAGAGTGAGGACACAGATGGCGAAGCTCAAAGTGCAGCAACTTTCCAGTTCCCATGAAATGACTTTACAGAAGGTAAAATTAGAGCAGCAAATGGCTGCTGTAAAGGCCAAAAATGAAGTAGAACAAGCTGAAGCCGAATTTCAGTTGGGGTGGGGGGGGGGAGGCCAAGTTTCAAGGTGAATTTTGCTCAATGTGGTAATAATCAACTTATGGAACAATTGGAGAGATTCTGGAAGACAGATAGCAGTGGATCTGTTTCGAAGATATCGAGTTAGGCCAATCGATGGAAGACAAGAGAGCAAAAGCTTGTATGGAAGAGTCAACAGTTAAAGTAGATGGTCACTACCAACTCGGGCTTCCATGGAAATATGATGAACCAATCTTACCACACAATAGGAAGATGGCAGATAAAAGACTACAGTGTCTGAAGGTGCGTTTCATGAGAGACAAACCGCTTCATGAAAGTTATTCTGCTACGATTTTCTATTTTATTACTAATTTTCGTGGCGGCCATCTTCACTTTTAAAATCACTGCCATCCTACCTTCTTTGAAATCATGTATATTGAACTCAGTTGACACAACAGCATATAATTTGACACCAAATTTAGCATTTATCATCAAATAGAAGTGGAATTACATACCAGAATATTCATTTTTTGATGGTTTTCATGGCGGTAATCTTGAAATTCAAAATGGCTGTTATTCTAGATTTATGAAACCATGCATGTATTTATAAACACAAATTTAGCAGTTTCCTTCAAAGAGAAGTGGAATTACATACTAAAATATTCAAAATGACTACTAGTACCATCCTAGCTTTTTGAAACTATATTTATTGTATTCAGAGAGCCCAAAATCATATGATTAGATCCAAATTTAACATTTTTTTTAGAGGATATGTGGAATTATACTGAAATAATATTTTTTGGCCATTTTTAAGGCTGCCATCTTGATTTTAAATGTGGCTGCCATTTTACGTTTTCAAAACCTGTCTCATTGGCTTCAGTGACCATAACATATAGTTAGACACCAGATTTGCCCTTTTTCATTTTATATAAGTGAAGTTATGAGTCAATATCATTATTTTGGCGGCCATTTTGAAAATGGCCGCCAAAAACAATGTTCCACCCTTTTTCTGGAGGTTCTCTCTCACTCAATTTCTTATTTATACCCTAGTGATGCTAAATCAGCAGTGAAACCTTGGTCCCAGAAAAATGGTCATGGGGCGGCCCCTGATTTTTACTATACTATGGTGCCAGTTTAATAGAATCTATTAGCAGATTTCCTGGAAACTCGGTGAAACTATCAATACCTAGGCACAAAATGTAGTCTAGAGCTAATATATTTATATACAAGCTACTGAAGGGACTGACTTGGCTGCTGAAAAGAAATATCTACTTAACAAGAGAAAGGGAGCAGAAGCTGGTACATTGCCTCAAACTCTGTCACTTAAGGAACTAAAACAGGCTGAAATAGAAGTAATTAAGCTTGTTCAGCATCAGGAATTTGGAGATGATCTGTGCTGCAAAAGTCGAAGCAAGTCCATGCAGAAGCTAAACCCAGTTGTAATTGATGGAATTTTGGGAGTAGGAGGGCGAATATGTAATGCTCCAATCGACTCTGACCTGAAACACCCCATCATTCTACCAAGTAATCACCATGTAACAGAGTTACTGATCCAATATCATCACTTGATATTTGGACATTCAGGTGTAGGCATGACATGGTCATCTTTGCAACAGAGCTACTGTATAATTTAGGGTGGTGCTACAGTACGTAAGGTGATTGGCAACTGTTTCGCATGTAAACTAAGAAATGCCTCTCGTGTACAACAGATGATGGGAGAACTGCCAGCTGTGAGGGTAACTCCAGATAAACCGCCATTTACATACGTAGGCATTGACTATTTCGGTCCACTTTATGTGAAACAAGGGCGTAACAAGTTTAAGCGCTATGGTTGCATTTTTTACCTGTTTAACACTGAGAGCGGTACATATTGAACTAGCTAACTCGTTGGACACAGATTCATTTCTAAATGCTCTGAGAATTTTTATCGCCAGAAGGGGAAAACCCGAGAAAATATATAGCGATAATGGTACAAACTTCCATGGTGCGGATAGAGAACTTAGAGAGAATCTTAAAACCCTGAAGCAGCGGAAAATAGAGAACTTTCTCCCACGGCGAGTCACATGGGCGGTGCTTGGGAGCGGTTGATAAGGTCGACACACAAGATTCTGAAGAACCTCCTTGGCGAACAAGTCATCTGTGACGAAGTTCTAGCAACTGTAATGACAGAGGTGGAAGGAATACTTAATGCAAGGCCATTAACAGAAATTAGCCTTGATGCAAGAGACTGTGAACCACTTACCCCAAACCACTTAATTCTAATGAAACAGAGTCCTAACTTACACCATGTGTTTTTGATAAGGACAATTATGGTAAAAGGCGATGGTGCCAGGCGCAATATCTTGCCTCCATATTCTGGAAGAGATGGCGTAGGGAGTACCTTCCTCTACTCCAAACTAGACAAAGGTGGACAACACCAAAAAGAAACATAAAGGTTAATTACTTAGTCTTAGTCGTGGATGATAGCGCACCACGTGGCCAGTGGCCATTAGGGAGGGTCGTAAAGGTTTTCCCAGGGAAAGATGGTATGGTGCGTCAAGTAAAAGTTAGGTTGGGCTCTAAGGTTCTGATAAGGCCAGTGGCCAAACTATGTTTGTTAGAAAGGGCAAATACCGATTAAATATGCATGGCATGTATCGTTCACATCAGTTATTATGTATTGCTTGTTAAAGTTCATGTTAAATTGTTAATTACTACAGATATTGATATATAGTTCATTGTGTTAAAATGAAAGAAACATTGTAATTGTAAATGCACATAGTTATGGAGATGTATGTACTAGCACTCAGATACTGATAAATAAGCTGCTTTTAATTAATTTTAAATGATCATACCGAGTAAATTCATTGGGGCCGGAATGTAGCTGCTATTTATAATTTCTTTAAGAGGACGCCCTCAGTTTTGAGTGTAGTTTATTTGTGAGCCAAAGTATAAAACTGCAAGAGGTCCAACCGCCGGGGATTCTTTGGAACGTAATCCTATTTCAAAAAGTACTACCCAAAAGGGGCGTGGCCTTTAAAAGAACGCAAAGTGCATTTATATCGAACGCGTGCTGCGCGTTTATAGAATGTATGCTGGAATTCGAAACGCAGCACGTGTTCGATACGAACGCCTTTTACGTTCTTATGAGGGACACGCCCCTTCGTTTGAGTAATTTTTAAATGTTCCATTACCTGTATACAAAATAAGGGCAGCCGGACCTCTTGCAGTTTTATACTCTTTGTTGTGCGTCACTTGACGTCAGGCAGACGGCGGAGCTAGGCTTTGATAGGTGCTGTCTCGGTTAATTGATACAAAGTTCGGGTTGAACAAGTTGGTAAGAGATATCAAGACATGTTTACCATACAATACTATAACTTATAATTTTAGGCATTACATGATTGCATTAATTTAGTCTAAACTTTATTATTTGACCAGAAAGAGTAATGTTTATTTGACGGTATAGGCTACGCCTAGCCCTACGTTTATGTTATGCATACAGTACAGTGGCTGTAAGCTTGCGAGCTAGATGCTCACACGTGTAGTAGAGTGGCGTCATTGTTGGCAGCAACGCGTATGTTACACGATTTTTTTACGATACTATAAAGTGCTATACGTGTTGTATTGGGTATACTGTTTGTAATAATATACTCTAGGCTTAGGAGTACTGTAATTCGAAATGAATACGATGTGATTGTCTACGAAATATTATTAATTAGTGTTATTATTTGAGCTGATTATATTTGATTCATTGTTATTGATTACTTCATTGAATGACTTCATGAGTAAAAACTACAAAAACCAAGTTGTTACGAATTGTGAGTCTGTTCGAACGTGTACAACCCCTGTAGTCACGCGAGGCGAGGCTACATACATTGTGTAGCATAGCTCTCAAGGAATGTAGTTCTATAAATAAATGAATAAAGAAATTGTGTATTAAGGTGACTGACGGGATTTGAACCTGCGACCTCTCGCTGTCAAGGTGAGCGTCATAACCATTAGACCACAGAGGTTTCATGGTTGAACAGATTCAAATAACTGCCAGATACACTCTATTACGCAATAGGAAACAAATAGTTGCATATACAGTAACATCTCCCAATTACGAACCTCCCATTTACGAACTCTCGATTTTACGAACCGAATTTGTGGAGATGAAGTCATCACGAACGATCGTTTTTAACTACAAAAACACTTTAAATGTATTTAAAGTCTTCCGAAATAATTTAAATTGTTACATCGGCTAAGAGAGAAAACATTCAAACCAATAAAGTGATATAAAACTAAGTTTAAAGCAAGAAATATCAAATGTTTTCTGCTGAGATATATTGTATTTGAGCTGCGCATGTTTCTTCAGGCGTACACTGTACAGTAAATCTCACTTTTTGATCATTGGGGGCTCTTCACATGGAATTTATAAAAAGAATAATAACTCTCGTTTTGAGCATTTATGGCCATGTTTTCATTTGGAAATTACTTCAAATGAATACTTCACAGGGAGCACAGGTATTTTTGGGGTCTAGCCCCGTTGCCACCCTGCCCGTATGTACTGTTTTTAGTTAGTGTGTATGTTTTTTACATTTTTTCTAAAGGCAGAACGTCATGAATAAAAATTTTTGTAGTGTTTTAAATTGAACAGATTTTTTTTATTTGATTTAATTGACTTGCTTTGAGTGTGGAAATAATAATGAACATTAATATAGTGACAATGATGAAAATAGCGATGATAAGCTATTATTATTAATATGTTTAATATGTTAAAGCTGCTACCGCTATAAGAAATGGGCATAAACCTCTCACAATTTGTTGTTTTTAAGATATTAAGTCAAATGTATGATCATATATAGCTCAGGTATACCAATAGAAAAACATGGGTAGGGGAAATGTCCAGCTGACCAATTGAAGGCCACGCAAATTAGGGGACCCTATAATCTGAACAATAGCCCTAGTCACGGTACAATAACACATCTCTTTCAACAGGTATTTTTCCAAGCAAGCTGAAAATTGGAATTATCAGACGAATTCTCAAGAAGCCCTCTCTTGATCCCGATGTACTTTCCAATTATCGTCTCGTGTCAAATATTCCATTCCTTTCTAAAATAATTGAAAAGACTGTAGCAGCTGAATTGGCACTTTACCTCACCGAACATGGATTTATGATCCACTTCAGTCTGCGTACCGAAAGCTACACAGTGTTGAAACAGCAATACTAAAACTACACAATGATCTTATTGTTCAAATTGATAAGGGATACTGTATTTTATCTGTCTTTCTTGATTTATCCTCTGCATTTGATACTTTCAGCCATTCAATTCTTATTAAACGACTATCTTCTATGGGTGTCCAATGTACTGATCTCTCTTGGTTTCGTTCTTATTTGACTTCCAGAAAGCAAGCTGTGAAAATAAGAAACAGTGGTGCTGATTGAACAATATTTAAATGCTGAAATTGCTTAAATATACGCTAATTCAGTTTTCGGATGGGGGGGGGGTAAAAAAACCCAATTTTTTTACCATGGTGACGTCATCAAAATGTAAAAAGAAGTCATATATGAAAGAGAATTGTCTCATCTATAACATACTCAAAGTTGGAAAACGATCGATCAAAGATAAGCGAGATACGCTCAAATGCGTATTTTCCAAAATGACGTCATAGCTAAAATTCACTTTCTTTGAATTCAGATGGCAATATGATGACGTCACAATGTCAGATCAGCCATTATGATCTATAAAATCATATTTATAACTTATGTGCTTTCGGAATATGTAATAAAAATTGGGGTCACCTTTCATTCTAAGAAGCTATAACTGATTAAAATTAGGCCTGATTTTAGTATATTTTCACTGTATATCAGCACAAATCCGCGCAAAGATACCTATGTTTGATGCGCATGTACAACATTGCTATTGGCCAAAAGATGACCGAAAAGAATGGAAATTTGTGAAAACAATGTCAGGAACCCAAACTATCTGGAAAAATGTCACGCATGACTGGTCACCTTGAAAACCTTACCGTGACTATATTCCAGGCGAAGCCAAAATGACCGATGAAGCGACCGTGTGCGTAACTCGTAGCAATTTTGAGATATCGTGTGAACAGAAATGGGGAGAAAGAAAGAAAAGAAGATGATGATGATCCTGACAATAACAAGAGGTGATCCGCACTAGATGCGGATCACCAAAAAGAAGATCTCTGACAATAACAAGAGGTGATCCGCTCGGGAAGCGGATCACCAAAAAAGAAGATGAAGATGATGATGATCCTGACAATAACAAGAGGTGATCCGCTCGAGAAGCAATTTTTTTACATATTTTGGGTTCCTGACATTGTGTTCACACATCTCTGATCAATCATCTTATGGCCAATAACAATGCCGTACGCATGCATCAAACAAAGTGAACTTTGAGCGCGTTTGTGCCGATATACAGTGAAATTATGCTAAAATCAGGCCTATTTTTAATCAGTTATAGCTCCTTAGGATGAAAGGTGACTCCCCAATTATTATTACATATTCTTAAAGCACATGATTTGTAAATATGATTTTATAGATCATAATGGCTGATTAGACATTGTGACGTCATCATATTGCCATCTGAATTCAAAAAACTGAATTTTATCTATGACGTCATTTTATAAAATACGCATTTGAGCGTATCTCGCTTATCCTTTATCAATCGTCTCTCAACTTTGAGTGTGTCCTTCATATATGTGACTCCTTACATTTTGGTGATGTCATCATGGTCAAAATAATGTCTTTTCTGACCCCACTTTCTGAACCCCACTTCAGAGATAATAGTATTTTTAACTGCTTAAAAATCAAAATACCTCATAATATAATGGTAAAACCCATCTGGATCTAGAAAAGTAAGATTTACCGTATCTTAGTTTTCTAGATCTAGAAAACTAAGATATCTTAGTTTTCTAGATCTAGAAAACTAAAATATCTTACTGTATGTCTTAGTTTTCTAGACACCCCTAATTTTTATTCATTATTTTTTCAGGTATTCATATTTTTTCTGAATTTCATTATGGGTTTCTGTGCTTTTGGCATTCAGTGCATTAATGGTGTTTTGGTTATTGAGCATACAACCCCGGAGATGTCTGGAACAGCCCATGCATTTGCTTCACTTGGTGGAGGGGGTAAGTTTTTAATACAGTACCAACAATTTACTTTTGCTTCTTGTCACTTTGCCCACCAAACACGGAGTTGGAGTTCTCCGTGTTTGGTAACTCAATGCTTGACTGCCAAACATGGAGATCTCCGTGTTTCAGGTTTTTTTACGACAATTTGAACACTATATTCAGTCTGGACCATAAGTATTTCACTATTTGTTTGTTTACATTAGCATAGAGCGGTAATGATTTACTTTCACGAAATCCCTGTCATCTCGGCTTTGTTGTGCGAAATTGCGTAAATCTCTAAAAGTGAGTCATTTTCATTACGGGTGATTAGAATAAAGTGTTTAGTACCATTGTAAAGCTAAAATGTGTGTAGTTCTTGTAGTATTCACTACATGTCAATCTGATCACATACGCACTCTCAACGAGTTTCGGAAAAGTGTTAAAATTTGCTAAAAATTCTGGCGGTGGCTGATACTATTTTTTCAAACCCCTGGCGGTCAGAGTGTTATTGATACTGCAAAATTCATGTACAGTATTTCCTTCCAACTCTCATCGGTTCAACACTTTTCACTAGATTAATGCTGGGGTCTCAAGTTGGAAGAGGTAATTTCTGGCAGATCTGTTTAAACAAGCTTTCTTAGCACATCTGATTTTTTTTTTGCTGCTTATGGTGACATCAATCAATACTGACTTCCATGAGACAAGTGATAATAAAGGGGCAATACATTACTATGAACATGCAGATTTAATGAATTTGGGGGAGGTAGGTTATTTTTCGGAAGATTCTTGTCCGAGGGCGGGAGGCAGTTCCAATTCCAAGAGACTCCTGTGACTTGATGAATGATGAATTACAGTGTTTCCCTCTCTAATAACAATCTTCATGATGTAAATGTTTCATTTTTAACAATTTTGTATGACCACAGTCTCAGTTCCTGGGCGTAATATTAACAGATTGCCAGTCATTCCTCTAATATACAGGTATGTCTGGAATATGGGAAAAATAATTAATTTTAACTTTATTTGTTTTTAATTGCAGTTGGCGCTGTGTTGGCAGGCTATCCACTAAGTATCATCGCTAAACATTATAATTGGTACACAAGCTTACTTATCGTCGAGGCAACAGTTATCATCCATTGTGTTGTCATGGTTACAACATGGAACATATCAACAGAGATTGGAAAGAAAAGAGGAAAAATAGAATGAAGACAGGATATTTCTAAAATATATTTCTTACAGTACACTAGGTTTTTGATATTGTAATAATGATAATAATATTGATGATGATAATGATCATGTTGAGGGTGATGGTGATGTTGACAATACTGAAATAAATGATAGAATCATGTATTGTTATTCAGTATTATAAGTTAAACAATCAAAGATGTAGATAAAAATTGTTTTCTAGAATTCTCTAATGACATTTTGTTTTTTAGCTCTGATGAGGAGCCCGGCTGATTGATTAATATATTTTTTCATTCTCTTTTTTGTATGGGCAGCTGTTAGGGCCAGTTATTTTTATTATTAGCTCCGATGAGAAGCTCTAGAAACAATTGGTTGATTGATAAAAGAGATCTTTTTAGCTCCAATGAGGAGCTCTCATACACGGCTGATTGATTGATCTTTTTTGCTGATTGATTAATAGATCATTTTTGTATTGGTGGTTGTTAGAGCCAATATACTTACTGCCTCTATTATACTGCCCTCATCAGAGCTTTCAAGATTACGAGACCTTGTTTTAAAGGGACCATCCATTATTTTTATCATTTTCAGAAGAGTGCAAATCATACTTTTTAAGAGGGAGCGGTTGTAAGCATTTGTACTTTTTTTATTAAAAGATGAAATGATGATCTCAAAATAACAAAAAAAATATAATTTTGTTGTGTACTCTTTCAGGGGGAGAGGGGTGACTTAAAGAGTATTTTTGTGCTCTTTTGTATATTAAGAAAATGTTTGTACATTTCTGATTGTTTATGCTGGGTTTTGCTATTCTTGTTTCTGCGGTATTGAACATGAAGTATGCAATAAAATAACCTAAAAAATGCTTAATGTGTACAGTACAGTATATATTTAAAATATAACAGTATTAACTTTCAACTGAAAATTATAACAAGGAAAAACTACAATTTCTATATTCTTGCATCTATCCGTATTGATCTGTTACTATTAAATCTGTTTAACTAATTAAGCTATTAAAAGTTTTGAGAGGTTTTTTTTTGTTTTTTTGTTTTTTTTGTTAATGGCAGTATATCAACTTCAGTTTTGTTCATTTGAATATATATAACCACCTCCTTTCATTTACAATATTATGATCATGGAGTCGACTCGCATTAACAAAATGTTACACAGGACACTGCTACAAGGGATTCCCAAGATATTCATAACAAAATTATCATTCTCTTCGCACAAGTGAATATAAACGTTGCTAAAGTCTGTTGGCCTACAATTAATATACAGTGAAGATGTTTGATGCCACATTGAACTGTATGCTGTACTCTGTGAGCCTGTGTTCAGGTTCTTGGGAGTGTTCAGTTCCCTGCAATATTTTTTTACTTGGGTATTACATGGAACCCGTACTGCTTTTACACAGATGACATCCACATGGACACCTGCTAAATTTTCCTTACTACATGTCTCATGAAACACTTTGTCTTGTGTCTGGTGACTTACCTTTTTTAGCAAACACACCTTCACTGAACAAATATTCAGACTTTCTCTTTTTAATTAAAAAAAATCTAGCTAGAGCAAGCTGAAGCTTGTTTTTCAATTAATGAGTTTTAAGAAGTTGCTATCTTTTCTCATTTATTTAAACATACTGTATTTGAATAATATTTAAATATAAATAGTTTCTTTGAAATCATGAATTTTTATAATCCTATTTGAATAATATTGCTGTTATTTTGCATATTATTTTAGTATGTTATCTTGTATTTTAATAAGAACATTTACCCTTTCAGTCTTATTTCCTCAAAATTTGTATCAGATGGGATCAATTTTAATTAAATAATTTATAGTCAAATGCAATAAATATATGGTATGAAATTAAGGCTGAATGTACATGCAATACATTTGTCTAAAATAGTCACATTATTATTTTTGGTGATATACTTTTATGTATATTTCTGACATTTATTAAAGATTTCCAAAAATCTGACTGTATTAGAGAAGTGCTTTCCTTAGTATTCTCTCTTGTTTATTAATAGTGATGCTATGTGTTCTGAAACATACAAAACAGTACTTAGTGAACAAAATGTAACCGTATTACAAAGTAATTAGATAGGTTAAACTTTTGCCAGATATTATATTGTATCAATAAACACTCAGGATTAATTTTTTTAGTTTGGTTTGGTTTTTTTCTACCCTGCTTATATCGTAATGAAACAGATGTCATTATGTCATCATTACCATAATTAGAAATACAGTACATTGGAACTATCTAATAATCACCGTAGAACAATCATAATCTATGTTCTATGATAAAGTGACAAAAATCATCGACTTCCTATTTTATAAATGTGTAACATATCTATAAACACATACCGTATATAATCGCGTATAAGACGACCCCCGAGTTTAGGAAGATTTTTGACGATTTTTGTATTTATATATATATAAAATAGGAAGTCGATGATTTTTGCTATCTAATAATCACCGTAGAATAATCATAATCTATGTTCTATGATAAAGTGACAAAAATCATCGACTTCCTATTTTATATATATATATATATAAAAATACAAAAATCGTCAAAAATCTTCCTAAACTCGGGGGTCGTCTTATACGCGATTATATACGGTATGTGTTTATAGATATGTTACACATTTATAAAAATGTTACACATTTTAGAAAAATCTATATATTTCTCATTTGCTCTCTGTCACCTTTATTCCTTTTTGATAAGACAGCCTATATTATATTGATTCATGATGTTTTCCTTATTCTCGCTGATGAAGGCCACAGGAGTGGCAGAAATATCCGAGTTTATAATAAAT